TTCCTACTTTCGTTTGATTTTCTTACCTGATGGTACACTTCGCCCTGTGCTCTCATTTTCAAACAGAATCCCTATACCAATTTGGTTGCGGGTTGAGCCTCTAGTTTTCTTGATCGTAGTAACCTGTGGCGGCTTGAAAACTTCAGAAGCCCCTCCTAAAAGGTTTTGCAAAACGGAGCTGTTGTGCTTGGAACTCCTTTGGACTCCTTCATACGACTACATCTTCGTCATTTAGCATATTGTGACTACCACCGGTAAACCTCAACTTGCCAGTGTCCCAATCCATCCAAAAGTTCTGTAATTTCCGAAAAATTCGTTCACTTACAGATTCCCTGAGTCTTCTCATCCCACTAGAGAAATTTGTATTTTCCAATGAATTTGTCAGCTCTTCACATTCGAAATCAGATATGATTTCTGATCCTTCCGAATCGCGGATGCTGTCAGGGTTCCCTGGTTAATTCCCCGCGAGGAGCGTGTCACTCCGGCTCGACTCAGCCGAGAGAAGCGAGAATTGGGTGCGTGTAGAGCACCTGTTCACCAGCGCGTCTTTACTGTAAATGTTCTATGGCACGTATGTTCGCTCCGCAGCACAGTTGCAACCACTTGAGTCCAAGTCTGAGTTTTTCTTCAGCTATTCTTTGTAAAGGACCGAGTCTTGCACTTGACAGCATCAACTGCTCGAACACTGTGTATTCCGTCTGGCCACACCTTCGGCGACAATGAGGGTCAGGTAGTGCGAGGGTAGTGGAGGGGTTAGAGAAGGGAGGGAGGGATTTATACTACTCCGAAAGAGCGATCGCATTTGCAATGGACTGCTGTCCCGAGAGGGCGTGGCCGTCGACAAGGCGCAGTCGGTCGGTTGGTCGGTGGCCGACGGCATTCTCGACTGCCACATACTCGTTCATTCTCCTTCTCCTTCGCCTTCGTGATTTCGTCCATCAACTCTCGATCTCCCATAACTTAACAGTACTCCTTTCAGAATGACGATAGATTGCATTTCGTTGCGTCCTATGGAAAGTGACGGCTTTCAAGTCGTCACCGAAGTCGTCACTCACAAACTTAACCATATTCCTATTTTCAAGGTTTGTTTACATGTTTTCTATTATTTGGCCGAATAAACATGGAGTAAACATCGCCATATTCTGAAGGAGGGAATTGCATCATCCGTGCCGTGGGCACTTCGCGATTGCATCATCCGCCGCTAGAGAGCCCATATATGCTCCACGCATAGATTCAGCTCATTTTGAAGGTCCAGCGGGACACTGAGCCTAGTCCAAGGGCTCCTTTTCCTGCGCTATTATCACTCCAAACCAGAATCTTTTTCCTAATGACGTTATCATTCCGAGTCAGGGTCAAGCGTTCGCCAAGGAAAGCTCGATGCTTGATAAGGAGCGATAAGTGGCCACGGTGTGAGGACAAGGGAGCGTCTGTATCGCTGTCTCTGCCTCTGAAGGCGAACCCATTCTCGTTTGTAATTATTTTATAATGATCCCGGAAAGGTCCACCATTACTGGCATTTTGTTTACTTTCTACCTTACCTCTCCCCTCTTTTCGACTGGGTTTTCGGGAACGTTGAGAAAGATAAAGGCAAAACGGAAGACGATAGGATGTTAGATGGGGGGGGGGCAAGAGTTTTGGTTAACCTAGCAAAGCTAATTTCCCACCAGACCACGATTCCACGCTCTA